TTTTTAGGCAGTAACCCTAATGGTTATTTTGAACCTGACTCCAATTAAGTTAATTATCCGCATGCATTAACTTAACCTATAATGGTGAACCAATGGCCTGTACAAATCGGGTCACATAGCTGTTGTATAACTCTCATCTAATTCCATAATGGCTGATTATTCTTTGGAGTTGTGAATGAAGGTGACTGTTGCCATGATCATCAGCAGTAAGCTAATATCAATCCCTCAGACTTTCCACGAACTCGACTTCCTGGCTATCAAAAGTAAAAGCCTAGATTTCCCTAAATCAATTGAAAAATATTCATTACATCAGAATCATTGACAATATATCATGATAAATAGAAAGAGCTTTCGATCTTCAGCATTGCTTTAATGGAAGTATATTCCTTGACATCTTCAATCTTCAGCATTGCTTTACCCAAAGATTGTTGCAATCGATCGGATCAATGTGGACTTTAAAGGTATCGTCTCGATCTGTAAATGATCGTCTTCAAAATCCCATTTCTCTTACTCGTATAGGGTAAATTTTGGTTAGATCAATGTGGATCAATGTGGACTTTAAAGGTATCGTCTCGATCTGTAAATGATCCCTTTTCTCTTACTCGTATAGGGAAAATTTTGGTTAGAAAAACCTTATATAGTTCTCGTTGAAGGTATTAACGTCTAAAGTTCCGAAACGTAGATTTCTGGACGTATATAGTTCCTTAGAATTGTCTAGTAAGTGCTCCAATATTATGTTAGATTTGGAATAATATTGCTCCCCCAATATTTTAGATCTAATTTGGACGAATGCCAAAGATAATGTTCCAAAGTCTTCTCCATATACTCTACTTTCATCAGAATGTGTCCATTCAGTACACATACCATCATACTTGACATGAACTGGTTCATTCGGAGGAAACTTTTGGTCCTACACTTAACGGTGGCTCTTCCCATCTTTTCCTTATTCCCAGTAGCCATATGGGTTTCTATCGTCCATGTTTTGTAAAAATCATCTCAAACCCAATAGCGCCTTTGAGATGTTGCTGGGTTTTCAAAGTCTTTCCTACAGCTAACGAAATCTCTTCACAATTGACTAAAACATTTAATTTCTTTTTTAAATTCCAACTAATTTTAATTCATCCTCTAAAATTATTTTCGTAATTTTATGTAAATTCCTTAAACTAACTTAAATCCTTAGCTCACTCACTATCAATATGTCCTTAAATAGCAGAGTGTTCATTTAATTCTCCACCATTAAACACATACTCCTGGTACTTAATCTAATTAGATGTATAAATTTCCTTTTACTCTTAACACCTTAAAGACCTTTTTGCCAACTTCTTTAGTCTCACACTCCCTGCTTACATATCGTTCTTTCTTACTCCCCATTTCCCTTACTTTTCTTTTATTTATTTAACTTTATTCTTGTTCAAGTGTATTTTGTATATTTTCCTTTTAACTTTTTGTTTTTATATTGTCGATGTTTTCCTTTAGTTTTTCCACATTGATTTTCATTCATATTTCATTAATTAAAAGGAATTTTTGAGGTTAAAATCCTGTGGTTTGTATAGTGTTGTTGCTTTCAAAAAGGAAATGCTCTCTTATGTTGTATGTGTGTTTAGTTCGAAAGAAAAGCCGCTTGTTGGAAAAAAACATTTTCTTGATTTTTTTCCATTCAATTGGTTTTTCTATTATTTTTGTTAGAAAATTTCTTTTTATACAAATTTTCTTCTCTGTATTTGTCTTTATATTGGTTTCTTATCTGTTTCATTTCCATTGTGTTTCATTCAATTTTCCTATTGTTTATAAAAAAATAACACATGTTATTTTGCCATGTGCATAAGATTTGTTTTCATATTGCTCTTTCTCTCTCTATCTCTCTTCATCTCTCTTTCATTTTCTTATTAAATCTCAGTTTTGCTTATGTCCTTATGTCTCTCCTTGTTAATGTTTATCTCTTTTCATATTTTGTTGATTTTTATGCGGTGTTTTATTACATACATATAGTTTTTGTTATTGTAGTGAAAAAATATCCTTGTGAAAAATGGAGAATGTGTGTGTTTAAGTGTTTGTGTGAGTAGTATACATTTCATTTGTATGCGTTTTTTTATTTGTATGTTGTCAATATTATCTTTAAAGTCTTTTTTTGTTATTATTGCTTTTAAAGTTTACTATACATATTTACTCGTTGTCATAATAAAACAAAAACAACAATAAACTCAAGTTTACATTACCTACACATTCATGTGAAAAAATCTAAAGAAAAATCACGTTTTAATGTAAATACATACATTTTAGGAAAAATTTTATTTGTTTGTTGTGTTATCCTCCCTCCTACCTTCGGTGTTTATATCGACAATAACCTCAATATTATATCTTTAAAATAAATGACTTCAAAGTCATGAAAAATAGCGGAGCAGGTTGAAAAGATTTTGTAAATTCCATGGATTGAAATATAGAGAATGATAAGCTTTCTTGGCGAAGTTAGTCCGATGGAAGCCTTGGAGGTGGCTTCCGTTCAGTACGGCAAGTCGTGTATTTGAGAAGGATCTTATATATATACGTTATCTGTCTTAACAGATTCTTCTTTGGTGTATATGTTACTTCATCAATAGCTGAGCATCAACAAGAACTGTAGTCTTTATGTAGCAGTCTCTGGCTTTTTCGAAATGTACGCGACATTTATCTCAGCCTGAGAATCTGTGCTGCGAATTAGACCTTTAGTTCATCTGATATTTCTTTGGTGTATACATTATTTCACTGATAGGTCAGCATTTCAGCCTTCAACCTTTTATCTCTGGCTTTTCCGAAGCTCTGCTCCGAATAGGATTTTGGTTCGACAACAATGGTTTCTAATGGACATCTGATTGATATGTCGGTAAAACCGGGCTTATTGGTATTTCTTGAGAACTGCCTGGATGAGATTAAGTTTTTTGTTCGATCAGATTTTCGTTGTGAAGAGGAATGATAAATTACTTTCACCAATTCCTTGTTGCGTGTAAGGCTCTACTGTGACAGAGCTCTGCCTGTTGTTTTTGAACACGAAGCTCGCGGATTTAGCTTTCCATGTGTAGATCTTTTCGATCTTCCTTCATTGGCTTCAGGCAAAATATACGAGTCTTTTTGAAATTCAACGGATTTATTTGTGAGCTTGTAATGGATTCTAATGAAACGAGTGCAACAACATCAATGTAATCTCCATTTAAGACTTTTTATGGAGATTAATGTCTTACCTTGGTATTATTGAAATACTCAGCTGTAGAGATGTTACTAATGTCAGTCTTCCGGATCTTAAACCTGAGTTCTCAAGGTTACTGAGGAGAGTTTACTTCGAGGTGCACATGGTAGCTATTAGCTGAAAAAATAGTAGAAGTATGTAACAAATGGAAGATTGGCAAGGTCTTAGGGAACTTATTTGTAGGGCGTCAAGTATTTTTCGGGGAAACACTTTAAATGGGGATGAAGTCCATGTTATTTTAGTGATTAGCTCTTCCTCTGAAGGCATTATTGGACTTCGATTAACAAAATGATGGTTTCTGGCATTCCGTGTCTCTTGGTATCGAATCAACAGATATAACAGATCAGTTCTAGTACAGTTCTAGTTCAATTCTAGTTCTAGTTAAGATCTAGTTCAGTTCTAGTTCAGTTCTACTTTAGTTCTAGTTCAGTTCTAGTTCAGTTCTAATTCAGTTCTAGTTCAGTTCTAGTTTAGTTTCATTTCAGTTCTAGTTCAGTTCTATTTGAGTTCTAGTTCAGTTCCAGTTTAGTTTCATTTCAGTTCTAGTTCAGTTCTATTTGAGTTCTAGTTCAGTTCTAGTTCAGGTATAGTTCAGTTCTAGTTTAGTTCTAGAGATCTAGTTCAGCACCATTTCAGTTCTAGTTCAGTTCTAGTTCAGCTCTAGTTCAGTTCTAGTTCAGCTCTAGTTCAGTTCTAGTTTAGTTCTAGTTCAGTTCTAGTTCAGCTTTAGTTCAGTTCTAGTTCAGTTCTAGTTCAGTTCTAGTTCAGTTCTAGTTCAGTTCTAGTTCAGTTCTAGTTCAGTTCTAGTTCAGTTCTAGTTCAGTTCTAGTTCAGTTCTAGTTCAGTTCTAGTTCATATCTAGTTCAGTTCTAGTTCAGTTCTAGTTCAGTTCTAGTTCAGTTCTAGTTCTAGTTCAGTTCTAGTTCAGTTCTAGTTCAGTTCTAGTTCAGTTCTAGTTCAGTTCTAGTTCAGTTCTAGTTCAGTTCTAGTTCAGTTCTAGTTCAGTTAGTTCAGTTCTAGTTCAGTTCTAGTTCAGTTCTACTTAGGTTTTAACTCAACTCTAGTTCATTTCTGGTTTAGTTCTCGTTCGGTTTTAGTACAGTTCTACTTCAGCTCTATTTCAGTTAAATTTAGTTTTAGTTCAGTTCTATTTCAGTTCTAGTTCTAGTTCAAGTTCAAGTTCTAATTCAGTTCTAGTTCAGTTCTAGTTCAGTTCTATTTCAGTTCTATTTCAGTTCTAGTTCAATTCTAGTTCAGTTCTTGTTCAGTTCTAGTTCAGTTCTAGTTCAGTTCTAGTTCAGTTCTAGTTCAGTTCTAGTTCAGTTCTAGTTCAGTTCTAGTTCAGTTCTAGTTCAGTTCTAGTTCAGTTCTAGCTCAGTTCTAGTTCAGTTCTAGTCAGTTCTAGTTCAGTTCTAGTTCAGTTCTAGTTCATTTCTAGTTCAGTTCTAGTTCAGTTCTAGTTCAGTTCTAGTTCAGTTCTAGTTCAGTTCTAGTTCAGTTCTAGTTCAGTTCTAGTTCAGTTCTAGTTCAGTTCTAGTTCAGTTCTAGTTCAGTTCTAGTTCAGTTCTAGTTCAGTTCTAGTTCAGTTCTAGTTCAGTTCTAGTTCAGTTCTAGTTCAGTTAATATAATTCCGTAAAATTTAAAAATTTTTAAGAAGTTATGAAACCCAAACTTTATAAATTCAATCGAAAGTTATTTCCTTTTATTAATATTTCTTATATTATTATTTTCTACGATAATGTCAAAATTCTAACCGAACTTTAATATTTTTTCATTCCAGATTTCACATTGTTCGAAGAAAATTAAGGAATAGTTGTCATCATCGCAACAATACCAAACATAAGTCAGGAAATATTAAAAAAAAGAAAGTCCTCAAAAAACCCGCTAATTGAACATATTTAAAGAAAATCATTAAAATTTTCGAAAAAAAGACCAAGATAAAAAATGTTTGCAAATGTCTAAAGTAAACTCGCAGCCGGGATATTAGACTCTTTTTAAAACATAATTTTCGGTTGATTTGTATATATGTAAACAATATTCGGTATTTTTTATAGTCGTTGTCTATTTGTCGTATTCGTCGTCATTGTCGTTGTTGTAATTATTTTTGTGTCGTCATCGTATTCGTTGTTGTCTCGTAAACGTGTGTAATTAATCCCTCTAATAATATTAAAAAAAAATATAGTGTCCTATCCATAACGGTGTATTAAAAGAAAGTGCGTATTTGTATAAAAAGAAATCGGTTTAAGCTGTAATATTTATAAGAAATTTCCTATAATACGAAAAGCATTTCTTGTAAGACGCTATATTTGTAGATAAATTAACTAAAACAAGTTTACAAAACGTGTATAACAATACAGTTTTAATATACAACAAAAACTGAAACCCAAAATTTAAGAAAAACCTTAAACAAATTGTATATAACAACAACAACAGCAAAAATAACGAAAAATTTAAGTCCCTTTGAGGAAAAGAAAAACGGCGAAACATATTTGAACAAAAGCGAAAAGAAAATATTATACAAATATTGTTTATATGTATTAGTGTGAGTGAGTCTGTGTCATTTACAGTTGTAACGGTATTTATATAAAAACCAAAATAAACAAATAAAAATCAACCACCCCCCATTATTTTGTTTGGAAATATTCATCTTTACTGTTAACTCTCAACTTTAACTAACAGTTTTTATTAGCCGCCATTTTTTAAATACTTTGTTTGTGGATTTAAAAACACTGTAAAAACAACAACTACAGCACCAATTTGAAATCCCATTTATGGCAGTTGGAATAAAAATGGCCTTCTATTATAATTTTATGAAATCCTTTTAATTTCATTTTGGGAATTAATTCACTCTACAGTTTATCACAATTTACATAGCTGGAGCATTAAGGAATTAACGGGATTGAAGTGATCATTGGGAAAATTGCGGAATATAAAGGTAAGTTTTTTCCTTTATTGGGTTTTTCAAATAAAATATTTAATATAACTTAAATCGAGCGAGTTCAGATCTTGTTTAGTTCTAGTTCAGTTCTAGTTCAGTTCTAGTTTAGTTCTAGTTCAGTTCTAGTTCAGTTCTAGTTCAGTTCTAGTTCAGTTCTAGTTCAGTTCTAGTTTAGTTCTAGTTCAGTTCCAGTTCAGTTCTAGTTCAGTTCTAGTTTAGTTCTAGTTCAGTTCTAGTTCAGTTCTAGTTCAGTTCTAGTTCAGTTCTAGTTCAGTTCTAGTTTAGTTCTAGTTCAGTTCTAGTTCAGTTCTAGTTTAGTTCTAGTTCAGTTCTAGTTCAGTTCTAGTTCAGTTCTAGTTCAGTTCTAGTTCAGTTCTAGTTCAGTTCTAGTTCAGTTCTAGTTCAGTTCTAGTTCAGTTCTAGTTCAGTTCTAGTTCAGTTCTAGTTCAGTTCTAGTTCAGTTCTAGTTCAGTTCTAGTTCAGTTCTAGTTCAGTTCTAGTTCAGTTCTAGTTCAGTTCTAGTTCAGTTCTAGTTCAGTTCTAGTTCAGTTCTAGTTCAGTTCTAGTTCAGTTCTAGTTCAGTTCTAGTTCAGTTCTAGTTCAGTTCTAGTTCAGTTCTAGTTTAGTTCTAGTTCAGTTCCAGTTGTTCAGTTCTAGTTCAGTTCTAGTTCAGTTCTAGTTAGTTCTAGTTCAGTTCTAGTTCAGTTCTAGTTCAGTTCTAGTTCAGTTCTAGTTCAGTTCTAGTTCAGTTCTAGTTCAGTTCTAGTTCAGTTCTAGTTCAGTTCTAGTTCAGTTCTAGTTCAGTTCTAGTTCAGTTCTAGTTCAGTTCTAGTTCAGTTCTAGTTCAGTTCTAGTTCAGTTCTAGTTCAGTTCTAGTTCAGTTCTAGTTCAGTTCTAGTTCAGTTCTAGTTCAGTTCTAGTTCAGTTCTAGTTCAGTTCTAGTTCAGTTCTAGTTCAGTTCTAGTTCAGTTCTAGTTCAGTTCTAGTTCAGTTCTAGTTCAGTTCTAGTTCAGTTCTAGTTCAGTTCTAGTTTAGTTCTAGTTCAGTTCTAGTTCAGTTCTAGTTCAGTTCTAGTTCAGTTCTAGTTCAGTTCTAGTTCAGTTCTAGTTCAGTTCTAGTTCAGTTCTAGTTTAGTTCTAGTTCAGTTCTAGTTCAGTTCTAGTTCAGTTCTAGTTCAGTTCTAGTTCAGTTCTAGTTCAGTTCTAGTTCAGTTCTAGTTCAGTTCTAGTTCAGTTCTAGTTCAGTTCTAGTTCAGTTCTAGTTCAGTTCTAGTTCAGTTCTAGTTCAGTTCTAGTTCAGTTCTAGTTCAGTTCTAGTTCAGTTCTAGTTCAGTTCTAGTTCAGTTCTAGTTCAGTTCTAGTTCAGTTCTAGTTCAGTTCTAGTTCAGTTCTAGTTCAGTTCTAGTTCAGTTTTTGTTCAGTTCTAGTTCAGTTCTAGTTCAGTTCTAGTTCAGTTCTAGTTCAGTTCTAGTTCAGTTTTTGTTCAGTTCTAGTTCAGTTCTAGTTCAGTTCTAGTTCAGTTCTAGTTCAGTTCTAGTTCAGTTCTAGTTCAGTTCTAGTTCAGTTCAAGTTCAGTTCAAGTTCAGTTCAGTTCCAATTCAGTTCTAGTTCAGCTCTAGAGCAGTTCTATTGTAGGATCCTTTTTAGTAGGGAAAAAACTTGCTTTGGAATTCCTTTGTTAATACTAAGTTTTAAATTAACTCTTTTAAATTTAATACTACTTAACTTTATATAGCCCGCCATTTTAACTCATTTAATCTTGCATTTACCCAACTAATGCCCATCTTAATTTACAAAATTGTCTAGTGTATTTAAAACGTCAACGTGTAAACGTCATTAAAATGTTAAACCCATAATTAACAATTAACTTTAAATTACATGGATGGTAATGAATGATACTCTATAATTATAAATGTGTTCATACGTATTCCAACATACGTACGTTGTAAATACACCAGAGTATGAGATGAGTATGTGTGTAGCTACAAAATGTGGCACCATTGTTCGTTTACATTTTACCTGCTGTAAGGTGAAAAATTTTACTGTTTCTTTAAGTAAAATGTGTAAAAAAATCTATAAAAAAATATTTTGTGGCTGAAAATATATGTATGTTACCACGAAAAATACATTCACACATAAAATTACATACAACAAAAGAGAATCACAAGCAAAACACTAACAAACGCCTTTAAAAGCAAAGAATTGTAATAAATATTATTTAAATTGTAATAAATCACTGTGAAAAAAGGAATAAAATGTGGGGGGTTAATTACTTTTGGATTTACAAAAAAAAAAAAAAAAAAATAAGGGATTATTTTAAAGAAAACAGATGGGTAATTGGTATAAAAATTTGTGTGCAATAACGGTAGACTTTTTGGAGCATACATTTCTACATGAAGATGTGCGTTTTTATGTACTCTAATAAAGATTTTTGGATGTTTCTGTTTCAATAGTTCAGTTCAAGTTCAGTTCTAGTTCAGTTCTAGTTTAGTTCCAGTTCAGTTATAATTCAGTTCTAGTTCAGTTCTAGTTCTGTTCTAGTTCAGTTCTAGTTCAGTAGTCAGTTCTAGTTCAGTTCTAGTTCAGTTCTAGTTCAGTTCTAGTTCAGTTCTAGTTCAGTTCTACTTCATTTCTAGTTCAGTTCTAGTTCAGTTCTAGTTCAGTTCTAGTTCAGTTCTAGTTCAGTTCTAGTTCAGTTCTAGTTCAGTTCTAGTTCAGTTCTAGTTCAGTTCTAGTTCAGTTCTAGTTTAGTTCTAGTTTAGTTCCAGTTCAGTTATAATTCAGTTCTACTTCAGTTCTAGTTCAATTCTAGTTCAGTTCTAGTTCAGTTCTAGTTCAGTTCTAGTTCAGTTCTAGTTCAGTTCTAGTTCAGTTCTAGTTCAGTTCTAGTTCAGTTCTAGTTCAGTTCTAGTTCAGTTCTAGTTCAGTTCTAGTTCAGTTCTAGTTCAGTTCTAGTTCAGTTCTAGTTCAGTACTAGTTCAGTTCTAGTTCAGTTCTAGTTCTGTTCTAGTTCAGTTCTAGTTCAGTTCTAGTTCAGTTCAAGTTCAGTTCTAGTTCAGTTCTAGTTCTAGTTCAGTTCTAGTTCAGTTCTAGTTCAGTTCTAGTTCAGTTCTAGTTCAGTTCTAGTTCAGTTCTAGTTCAGTTCTAGTTCAGTTCTAGTTCAGTTCTAGTTCAGTTCTAGTTCAGTTCTAGTTCTGTTCTAGTTCTGTTCTAGTTCAGTTCTAGTTCAGTTCTAGTTCACTTTTAGTTCAGTTCTAGTTCAGTTCAGTTCTAGTTCAGTTCTAGTTCAGTTCTAGTTCAGTTCTAGTTCAGTTCTAGTTCAGTTCTAGTTCAGTTCTAGTTCAGTTCTAGTTCAGTTCTAGTTCAGTTCTAGTTCAGTTCTAGTTCAGTTCTAGTTCAGTTCATGTTCAGTTCTAGTTCAGTTCTAGTTCAGTTCTAGTTCAGTTCTAGTTCAGTTCTAGTTCAGTTCTAGTTCAGTTCTAGTTCAGTTCTAGTTCAGTTCTAGTTCAGTTCTAGTTCAGTTCTAGTTCAGTTCTAGTTCAGTTCTAGTTCAGTTCTAGTTCAGTTCTAGTTCAGTTCTAGCTCAGTTCTAGTTCAGTTCTAGTTCAGTTCTAGTTCAGTTCTAGTTCAGTTCTAGTTCAGTTCTAGTTCAGTTCTAGTTCAGTTCTAGTTCAATTCTAGTTCAGTTCTAGTTCAGTTCTAGTTCAGTTCTAGTTCAGTTCTAGTTCAGTTCTAGTTCAGTTCTAGTTCAGTTCTAGTTCAGTTCTAGTTCAGTTCTAGTTCAGTTCTAGTTCAGTTCTAGTTCAGTTCTAGATCAGTTCTAGTTCAGTTCTAGTTCAGTTCTAGTTCAGTTCTAGTTCAGTTCTAGTTCAGATTCTAGTTCAGTTCTAGTTCAATTCTAGTTCAGTTCTAGTTCAGTTCTAGTTCAGTTCTAGTTCAGTTCTAGTTCTGTTCTAGTTCAGTTCTAGTTCAGTTCTAGTTCAGTTCTAGTTCAGTTCTAGTTCAGTTAAAGTTCAGTTCTAGTTCAGTTCTAGTTCAGTTCTAGTTCAGTTCTAGTTCTAGTTCTAGTTCAGTTCTAGTTCAGTTCTAGTTCAGTTCTAGTTCAGTCCTAGTTCAGTTCTAGTTCAGTTCTAGTTCAGTTCTAGTTCAGTTCTAGTTCAGTTCTAGTTCAGTTCTAGTTCAGTTCTAGTTCAGTTCTAGTTCAGTTCTAGTTCAGTTCTAGTTCAGTTCTAGTTCAGTTCTAGTTCAGTTCTAGTTCAGTTCTTGTTCAGTTCTAGTTCAGTTCTAGTTCAGTTCTAGTTCAGTTCTAGTTCAGTTCTAGTTCAGTTCTAGTTCTAGTTCAGTTCTAGTTCTAGTTCAGTTCTAGTTCAGTTCTAGTTCAGTTCTAGTTCAGTTCTAGTTCAGTTCTAGTTCAGTTCTAGTTCAGTTCTAGTTCAGTTCTAGTTCAGTTCTAGTTCAGTTCTAGTTCAGTTCTAGTTCAGTTCTAGTTCAGTTCTAGTTCAGTTCTAGTTCAGTTCTAGTTCAGTTCTAGTTCAGTTCTAGTTCAGTTCTAGTTCAGTTCTAGTTCAGTTCTAGTTCAGTTCTAGTTCAGTTCAGTTCTAGTTAAATACGAGTTCTGGTTCTAGTATGGTTTTTGGAACCACAGAATAATCATTCAAGGCGAACAAAATCATTTTCTAGTTTATTTGGACCCGTCCTAATGCCACAGTGGAACTATAATAAACCCAAATGACTAAGTCTTAACAATTACAAAGTTTTTTGTTTTAAATTTAATTTTGACATTTGTTTGTGTCTCAAATGTTTTTCAAAATCCTTTCTGTCCATTTCTTTTAGTTTATTTTTAACTATTTGCGTATGTCTTTCAAACTCATGCCTTCAAACTTTGTCATTTGCATTAATTTTTAAATAAATTTTAACACTTTCTTCTTAGCTATTTTCTAAATATTAAATACAAAATACTTTAAATTAAATTTAAACACTTGACGTTCCGATACCCTT